GCAGTGTTGCGCGAATTGTTAAAGTATCACGTTCTGTGTGAATTTCTAGGAATGCATTATCAGCTGGGCAGTTGCAACAATGTTGCCATTTTTAATCAGTACAGTATATTTCAACTTGCTCGTGCTGAACTAGCAATCTGCAATTCGTCTTTCGGAAATAATAAATCTCTTTCGAAAGACATTTTACATTTTGCTGTCAAAATGCAAAATCGAAGTCTACTTTCCCGTGTAAACAGCCAGAAAGTATTTTTTGCAGAATCGCAAAAAAAAAAATTGCAAGGTTTAACTGCAACTGAAATTCAGCAAATCGCTTTCGAGAAATAATTTCAACTTGCTCGTGCTGCACCAGGAATTTTCATTTTTGCCGTGTGACGCGTTTCTTGGCGAAATTGTATACAATTCTAAAAATATTGATTGAAATATGTGTAACTAATTTATTCTACTCATGTGGAGTATTTTAGTATTAATGTATTAGACATTTTGGGACTGTTTTGTGCACATTTTAGCAGGTTTAGTAAATTTTTCATGTCATCAATTTTGTTATAAGCATAAAATATCTGGTAACATAGTTGAAAGTGGACTTGTCTGCATCGCAGGGTTTAATTTTCAGAAATAAAAACTGCTTTCGAAAGCCACTTTACGTGCAAGGTGTAACTGCTCCTGCAATCTCTTTTGGAAATTCTTGAGTTTGAAAGACTTGCACTTGCCACGACTAACAGCTGCTTTACATGCAAGGCGTGACTGCTCATCAACTGCTTTCTGAAATTTCTAAATTTTACGGCCTTTTCGAAATACATATATTGCATTGCCACGTCTGACACGCTCTTTATATCTAATAAACATTGCAAGTGTATTTTTAAGTTTCTTACTGTTAATTACCGTGCCGTTTTCAGAATACTACTCTACATCGGTGGCTGAAAATGGCTGAAGACGCCCTACTTCAGAATTTGATCAAAGAACACCCTATCTCACAATTCAATTGAAAAACGCCCTCTCAGAATTTTGTTGAAGAATGCTTAGTAAATGGTACAAAAAGGCCCTCTCTCAGCTGACGATACATTGAATTGAATTTACTTGAGATATGACGTTCTTGAACCATTTGCTGAGTTAAGACGTTCTTCAATCTAATTCTGAGATAGGGCATCCTTTAACCAAATTCTGAAATAGGGCGTTCTAGAAAAATTTTCTGAGGTAGCCGTCGATATGTAAAGTTACGAAAAAACCGATATAACTGTTTTACAGAGTGGCTGAAATACTTTCATAGTCAGTGTATAATCGCACGGAATTATTGAAATTTGTTTTGTGATACGGTCTAAGGTGCGCAGTACATCCCCCTGATGAGAAAGAATTCCAGTTTTGGTACCAAACGCTATACGTACATATGTACATATGTTAGTGCAACTGTGCCTTCGCTCAGCCGGTTATTGAAAAACTCAAGCACTGAAGGGATTCAGAGTGCGCACGTACAAACCTTGTATTTAAGAAGCCAATATAATAGCCTACCCTGCAGAAAATCCGACCAGCTCAGGACTAGCGTAGAACTAGACATTTTGCCAATAGTACTAGTTCTAGCTCAATACCCAAGCAATGCTTTCAACTATCCAGTTTTACACGGCGATGTCATTGGCGGTGGCAAATGTCGCCCAGTGCATTACTTTGCAACTAGTTTTTAAGCGGTTCCGTTTTGGATAGTTTTTTTTTTATAAGAAACCGTTTTTAAGTTACGATTTTTGGATATTTTTTTTCGTTTTTTCTTTTCTTTTACATATTCTATTTTTGTTACATATTTAAAAAAAAAAAGAAGAAAATTATTGTAAGCTCCACGCCACAATTTGAGTTCATTAAATTTGAAAACTAAAAATTGCCTCCACCGCGTTTGGAACTCGCAACCAACGATGCTCGAGTCGGAAGTCTTAGCGTTGAGCTACTTTCATATTGTACGAATAGTGAGTAATCGCACATTTACACCGCAAGTTTCAACTGTCCCACTCTGCATCCGCTTTGCACCAGTTCAGAGATAGTCCTGATATACAATGTGTAGTAGTTCGGAACTAGCGCTTTGTCAGACTGTCTCTAAATTTTACTGCCGGGTACCTACAGTTCTATGTAATAAAAGCATTCTACATAACATATAACATACGAATACAAACGAAGAGGAAAACGCGAAGAGAGTACTAAAGTACACACTCCCATACATACAACATATGCAAGTATATACACCGAAGTAAACAAAAACAGCTGCCGATTTTATTGCTTACTCTTCGTATTTACCTCCTTCTGATTATTTTCTTCTGCAACAATTGCTTTTGATTTTTTGTTTCTTTTTCGCCTATGTATCTTCTTTACACATATTTCATATTCTTAAAATACCTTTCCCCGGTTTCTTTTTTTGCGGTTTTTAATTTTTAGAATCAGGTTTACTAATTTTTAAATTGCTTTAACAGAGAATACGACGAAAATCCACATATGTAGATATATTTGGCATACTGACTGGCATTGGAGTTACTCAGGTGAGTATTTGTGTATGTACGTATGTACAAATGTGTGTTTAACTATCAAAAGCCTTGCGGCTTGCAAAAAATTAAGAACTGTTTCTTTCGAGAAACAAATTTACATACACACACACATGTATATACAGACATATGTATGTATATGCGAAAATAGCGGAAAACTAACAGGAAAATGATCACTTATAGCACTTTTGATTTAATATATGTCGTTTTTGTTTAAATTAATCGTTTCTACTAAACACAGGCCTCCAAGAAGAACAAAACGGAATTAGCGGTGACAACTGCATTTAACCAAATATGCAGAAAAGTTAACTTGAATCTAAAAACTATTGTATTGTTTGTGATCAAAGTGAAAGGCGAAGCTATTGGCAGCTTCTTTTGTCTGGTTTTCTAGGATTATTGCCATTTTTTCTCTCTACTATGTATTTTTCAAATTGCATAAAGCAGTACATTGCCTTGCCTAAGTACACCGAAATTAGATAATTTCACAAATATTGCATATTATACACTTGGAGCATAGCACATTAATCCTGTTGTATCAAACAAAGCAACGCAATTAAACTCCATAAAATGTCGCGCACACAGCAAACCGTTTGTCCAAAGACGAAGAAAGTTAAACCTTGGATGTTCACTGCGTCCGAGCGTCACGCAAACCTCGAATGAAAAACTGGATGCACCAACTTCGTTTTAAAAAATTCAATTGCTTGATTTTTCTGCATTTTTTTAGCACATTTATGTTTTTCCCCAATAAAAAATATATTTATTTACATTATTCAGCTTGCTGATGTTTGCCTCGCGTGACTGCTTCACTGCGTCTTCGTCGAAAAACTTTTCCTATGATTTTTCACAGTTGACTTTAGGATGTGATTGTCTCGCTCGCACTTGCGTTGTTTACATTGTGGAGTTATACGAAGAGAATTGTTGCTGACTAGACCAAAAGAAAGAAGTAAAGCAATCTGAAACAGTCTCCCAGCGCCATCTAGGCGTCAAAAACGACATAAAATAGAATTTGGTCCCAATAGGAAATTTACGTGAGGCGATTTTTGGTTGAAAGCAACAATTGCCTTTCAACTAATCGCTTTCAACGCAGTTGGTCGGCTGTGAAAGTTGAATCATGTAAATTCCCTATAACCGATTCGCGCTAGCGCAGGTAGAGAACTTATAACAACGAGAATGTGTAAACGACTCAGTGGACATCATTGAGAATTGGAATTTTTATTTTCTGAAACCAATCTGAAAATGTCTCCCAGCACCATCTAGGCGTGAAAAATTACTTAAAATAGAATTTGGTCCCTAATAGGGAAGTTACATGAGGCGAATTTCAGGCAACTTTTAGTCGAAAATAACAACCGCCTGGTGTAAACGGCCTTTCAACTAATCGATTTCAATGAAGCAGAGCTGTAACATGAGGCTTGTATAGTAACTTCTCCAGTTAAATATTGCAGCGAGAGCGTAAAATCAAAATAGAGCGAAAAATTGAGAAGAAAAGAAAACTAGCAGAAAAAGTTAATGAACACAAAAGTAGCAAAAACTTGCAAGTGAATAGTTGTTGCAACGTTTTGATATTCTGCTGTCAACATTTTACTATTTATAAATCAGTTTTAAACTCTTTGCCTTACTGCCATCCCTAAATTGGCGCGTCAAGCGCCAAACAACTGTCAAAAATCCTCATGCCCATACAATTTGTATGAAGCATCCCACAATAACGCGGCGCTAACGCCGAGCAAATGGAATTTTCATTTTTGACAGGGCGTTACGTGTTGAAGTTGGATGCGGAAGACGGAAAGAAAGAGAAAGGACAAAAAAGTGAAAGAGGAAACGAGAATAAAAACGAGAGGATCTGAGAAAACGTCAAAAATTACGACGCGTTGATTTGGGGATAGCGCGCGCTGACACTCGTCGACAATGGATAACGCAACGCTTAGCGCTCCAATTTAGGGACGGCAGTTACACACAAGCACTTACACAGTCCAGTACATCGTTAATATTTTGATTTCCAAACATTTTATTTTGTTTGTGCTAAACCAATTCAACAAATGGCGGCTTTTGACATTTATTCTTCTTATTCTTCTTCTGCTAGCTAATTTCTGCTAGTAAAAATTTCACAAGCAAGAATATGCAGCTCTCTCGTGTTCTTATGCTCTCGATTCAGTGCTCTCTTGCAAATTTTTTGGGTTTTCCAGTAAAAATTTGCAGGTTCCTGTAGAAATTAGTACTGACTATTGGTTACTATACAAACCTAAGATTTACCACGTTTATACCTAAGCTATTTGCAAATAAAAATAATTTGCAACTACCTAACTCACTGTTTATTCGATGGTGAAAAATTCTTTTTTAATATTGCCTGATTATAAAAAAAAAGGAAATAGAAAAAGAAAATAAAGTTAAAAATGGCAACGTCTTAATTTTAAAAAGGCCATAAGATGACCATCGAAAAAGAAAATAAGCCTAAGAATGGCGGCGTCTTGCGCTTAATTGCAAATAGTACCACTGATCAATACTTATTTGCGCGATTTAGTTATTTGCAAATAAAAAATTAACTCAGCGTTTATACGGCAAAGTTTACCATTTTGCAAATTATCTATTATTTGCAAATAATACGTGCGTATAAACGTAGTAATTGAACCAGTAGGATCTGCATTCACTCGGCATTCTTTTCAAAATTTTGATTGTATGGTAGAGTTCCATTCAGTATATGTTAGATTAGGAAACATTGAAACTAAACCAAGTACTGCTACTTAAAAGTATGCGAAAAACTTCCCGCTAAAAATTAATATTTTTACGCGTCACAATGAGCAACGTTTGACACCGATTATTTTTGTTGTTATTGTTTTTTCTTATGAATTTATTAGATAGACTTAGTAGCCGAATATTTGACAGCCAGAATGCCAAAAATCACGGCCATCTGAAATCATTTTATTTTGGACTTTTGGCACGCTAAAATTGGAAAAGGGCACAGTGTGCGCCGTTGAGTTACGAAAATATCGGCGCGCCGGCGGCGGCGGCGGCGGCCTAAGGAATTTTGAACAAAATGTTCATGATGTATTCACATTGAAATTCATTTTTAAAGGAGGGTTTTTTTTTACCTAATTTGGGCCACTGAATAGCAATTTGATATCCTTTATTTTTCCAATAAAAAACATAGGAAACACGCTTTTTGATGGAAACCTTTATTACAGTTAAATTAGAGTCCAACGAGAGCAGAACTAAATTTTTTCAATACCACAACTAATACTTTTTTATATACTACAACAACAAGAAAGTTATCACATATCAAAACCTTTAACGCTAATATCTCAGTAACAACGTTGTAAGTATTTGTTTCTTTAATAAAGATTTTTTTTATTTTTTTAACAGATTTTTTATAAAAAGCAAATTTGCTAATTTTTACAATCCTAAGATACATATTTTAATCTCGGGTCCCACAGATGTGTTCTGTACTAGGTGGGTGTGTGAAAATTATGATAGCATTCATAAGTGGTGGTCAAAACCCAGGAAGATTTTGCTCCATCGCATCGCAATGTTTTCGACACAGGGTTAAAGTTCCCCCTTTTTGGAGAAAATTAGTATTATTTTTCATTACATTTTGTTATCCTTAGAAAGTCTGGCAAAAGAGCAGATCAGCTCAAGCAATGACTGTTGTCAACATTCCATACTTTTTTTTTTTTTTTTTTTCGTAGGAGAGGGAAATGCTTTATGCACTGGCCGGGGGCGCTAGTCTCTATACTACCTTCCCCGAGTGTGGGACTCCCACCGAAGTGTGTTGGGCTACCCACTAAAACCCAAACTCCCACCGCCCGCGCAAGAATCCCGCATCTGGCACCGCAATTCTGCATGTCTTCAGATGCAGGAGCGCGCTGTTAGAGCCTTGGGGCTGCTCTTTTGTAGGGGCGTTTCATTCGGGTGTCCTCAGTAGACAACCGTCCTCTCGTTTGCAGCGGAGTACGAATTTCACGTATCTCGCAACTGCTTCCCACTTTTCTGCGCTGGAAATCATTATCCCAACTATGTTGTCCGGAGTAATGTCTCCGTGTCTNGTTGAGGTCCGACCATTATATTTATAATTGTTGGGATCCGTTTCCTGGTGAGGAGCACGATCTCCGTTTTGGCTGTAGCCAATTGCAGACCGTGATCGCTCATCCATCCACTGACGTTGCGCATGACCTGGTTTAGCTTGAGCTGTGCTAGCTGGACATTTCTTGCTGTTATGACGGCTGCCACGTCGTCCGCGAAGGCGACAAGGAAGGCGCTCTCCGGCATTTCCGTGCGCAACAGACTGTCATACGTGGCGTTCCAGAGGTCCGGGCCAAGTACAGACCCCTGTGCCGCTCCGCCGGTTATACGTCTCTTTCTCTGACCTTGTGTTGTGTCGTACAAAAGCCAACGGTCTCTGAGGTAGTCCCGGATCATGTCTAGCAAGTATGTTGGAACCTTGAATGACCATACATTCCATACTTAGCGACGCTATGAGTACATTCATTACAATCTTCTCCAACAAAGGCTCCGGCTGCAATTTCAAGAGTACAGTTTCAAGCTTTTTGTTAATTGTAGTCAAAACGGCATTTTACAAAAATCATACTTCAAATTCATAAATAAGTTTTTAATATCAATTCGATATTTCGAAATTTTCGGGATCCCGGGATTAAGGCAAGCAAAACCCGTGATTTTCGGGACCTCAAAACTTCCGGGATCCCGGTATTGGCATCCCTAGTACATACGGATCTGTAGAGAACATAGATAACCATGTATGTAAGTATATACCTCAGACCTTCTTCTGTTCGCCCATCCATCAGCGCCAAGCACTCAACATCTATATATTAATACGCTAACGAAATCCCATACAAATCTATTCCTCCCTAATGCTGCTATGAATTTTAAAATTATTTAACAGAATGTATATTACACCACCAAACAATATAACTGACCTGCTGCTGGACATAAAAACTTCCCAAGAAAAATGAATGATTGTGTAAAAAAAGTGAGGTGGTCGAATTTCGACAACGGGGCGATACTAGTTTTAATTAAAGTTAGAAGTAACAATATTTAAATATAAAACTAATTCAGTGATGAATTGTAAATTGTACATTTGAGCCAAAGATGAGAGTTTCTGACTGGGAACTCTTGGCATCAAACCTTATCCATTCGTACCAAAATATAGATTTATAAAACCAAATGAGCATTTAATCATTTAGTCTGTGTCCGGTTTACAGGATTTAGTCAGAACTTACAGGAAGTCATTCCTATTGACATAAAACACTTTTGAGAGTTACAGGAAGTTACAGGATTTAGTCCGGAGTTTTTTTTTCCTGTAAGTTCATGAAAAGTGTCAAATGATCAGCTGATTTGCATGTGCAAACAAAAAAAGAAAGCGGTGAATGCAAAGAACCTTATATTTGTTATAAAATGGTAGTAAACAACGAAATATTTGAATATGTATAGATTTTAATAATTAGTTAGTGATATTTCAGCAAATCAGTGTTGTACAAATGACATGTAAACAAACCGTCTGACGTTTTTACAGGAAATAGTGCTTTTTGCGTTCCCGTGCCCTTCTGCATCTGTTCTCCTTTTACTCTCACTTGAGAGAGTAAAATTGTAGTTTGACAGTTCCACAGGTTTTAGTACGAAGTTCAAAAGAACAGACTAATTATTTTATTTTTTTTTTCGCTTAAAAATAGAAATTATTTATAGGTAATTATTATTAAAAATTTCGGGACTTATTCCTTGTATTAAAGTGTCGCTGCCTCTGAAAAGGACATGTCGGAAATCACACTGGTATGGCTTTCGAGTTTTTTGAACAATCATTACTCTTAAGTGAAAAAATAAAACTCAATTAGCCTTATCATGAGTTTCATTTTCCCCGAACCGGTTCACTTTTCACTCTTGGTTTCCATGGTTTTACTATGGGCGGATGACGAATTTTCGGGTGAATTTTTTTTCAGGCGAAACTCAGCATAAGGCAGATTATGATTATTTTCCGTCCTTGTTTATAACTATGAACTGCACATTTTTATGATACCTATTAAAAAATTAAATTAAATAAAAAATAATCAAGTAAAATTAAATCAAATAAACTAATAAAATAAAATAGAATAATTAAATTAAGTAAATAAATAATAAAATTAAATCAAATAAACTAATAAAAT